GAGAGAGAGAGAGAGAGAGAGAGAGAGCGTTACGTAACAGAGAGAGAGATGCATGAGGCTTTCAGTGGAGAGAGAGATGAATATACATACACAGGGAGGGATATATGTCGGAGGGCAAAGCATCATGGGAGCAGCCGTCAAACAGACAGCACACAGGCAGAGAAACCTTCAAACACACACATTTGAATTCTAGAGAGCAGCTGGGCCACATTAGTCATATAGCTTCTTTTTTTTTTAAATTCATAATTTGCCAAAGGGAACGACAAGATTATAGATTCCATTCTGCTTTTACCCTGAATAACCTTCACATCTCGGAATCAATGGACTCCTGACACTCGACAGACAGAGGAAGTGTGTGTGTGTGTGTGTGTGTGAGAGTGAGAGAGAGGCTGATTTGTCTCTCTCTCTCCCTCCATTTCATCATTGGTCTATTTTCATGTTGGCCTGATGAGAGCAGATCTGCAGAAACGATCATTCCCCAAATGAAATCGGCGAAATCCAATTCAGCAGCACTCCGTCCGGACAGAGACGGAGGGAGCTGAGTGCGTGCGACAACAGACAGGAAATAAACATGGACGACGAAACTCAAGTTAGTGATACGATCGTAGTAAATAAAAAAGGTGTGATGTGTTGTGACTCTCACCTTATCTGCTGATTGGCTTCGCTGCGGATCTTGAGCACCTCCTTGCCCTTGAGCTCCAGCTCTTTGGTCAGAGTGCTGATGTTCTCGTTGAGGGTGTGGATCTGGTGGTCGAGCTGAGCGATGTGGCTCTTCCTCCTGGACACCTCCTCCTGCAGCTCGGTGATCCGACCCAGCAGCTCACGCTCCTGAGAAGAAAGATAAAAGTATTTTTAACAGCGGACTCCATTAAAGCGGCACTGTGCAACTTTTTACTGAGCAGCAGCGCCCTCTGCAGCCTCTTGTGGTGAATGATTATTTTTGGGCTCTGAGTCTATCGGTGTGTTGAGCGGAGCTCTGACTGTGTCGTCCAGCTCACTGAGCTGAAACACAACTGAACGCTGGATATTACCCACGATCCTCTGCTTCCTGAACCAGAAGAGCTGCTGCTGAGAGAGCAAGTTTCCTGCTGAATATTCGAGATAAACTTTGGTTTCCATTTTAAAAGCTTTTCATTCAATCTGTGCTCAAACAGAAGCTGCTGTCTCACTGTCTCTGTCTCCTTCAGATTCCTCATTTGACGTAATTGGCTAAACCTGGTGCTGCAATTAAGCTCGACGGGGACATGGGAGGATTAATCTCATTTTACTGTCCATCTCGTCAAAGTCCAGAGGGAGAGGAGGCACAAAAACAAGAGAACAAGAAGGAGAGAACAAAAGAAAAAGAAAAGAGAGGACGTGGACTTGAATTGGTTCATTTCAGGGAGTGGTGTTGACTGTGGGTGTTTCAGGAACCTTGAGATTTACTTCTCTTCTCATCCCGTTGTCCTGTCATCACTTTTCACTCTCTCCATCCGTTCTCTCTTTTCTTTTCAATCTCAGCTAAAATAAGCAGTGAACACGTGCACCTCTTTTTTCTGGGGTCTTTTTTTTTTTCCAGACCCTCTCTGTTCCCATTTTCAAGTCTTTGAAAAATAAATTACGTTTTCAAATATTTATCGAGCCGGCGCATTAGCTGGTCCAATCTCGGGACTGAACGGGGGGG